TCACAATTTGTCGAGAGATAGCTCAGGTTTAAAACAGCTACGCGAAAAAAATGCATTTGACAATTTGATGAAATGTAAGCAGTTAGTCGATGATAAAAACAACGAGGAGTTGGAACTATCATTTGGTATGGCATTGATTGCACAAACTACTAACAATAAGCAACCAAACGAAAACACAGAATTCACCCTTTGGATTAGCAAAGAATTGTACAAACGGTGTAAGACAGCTGCTGACTGCGACGACTTCACATATGACGAATGTCATTTGTCGGAATATTTGGAATTACTGCATCGCGCTTTTTCGAACACGCACGTAATGGAAAATATTTTAGTTGGTGAACCGGATGATGAAACAAAACCGATAAAATTCTTTGCACAGCTTCTTTTATCTATATACGGAGCATTACTGGATATGGAAGCAGACGATCTTGACAAGCGCGCTGCAAGATATTTACTTAAAATTCTTTTACAGATTTCTATTTTCAATCATTCGAAGTATCTGAAAGAATTGATCGAGATCCATCAGCTGTGCGTTATCATTCAATGCCTTGCCAAACGTCCAAAGCAAGAAGATGCCAAGCAACTATGGTCCAAAATTCAGCAAGAAATCTCACCAGACCAGATGAAAACAGACAAGTCGTCAGCGATCTATGTCAGCTACGATTCGACCCAAAAGGAGTTTTGTGAAACGTTTGTGAAGAAGTTGCGCGGTAAACTTACAATACCGATTTGGGTCGACTATGAACATGTAGAATCTTTTGATGATGCGTGGAAGTACGTAGCTAAAGTAATCAAATCAGCATCAGTAATTATTGCTATGGTATCGACTGCCTATAGTGAAAATATTGATAAATTTCATGAAATATCTTACGCAATCTCAACAAATCAATTTTCAAGTCAAGAGAGAATCTTGATTGGAGTCCAAGCTGAATCTGATTTTAGTTTCGATCGATCGTGGATGAGCAGTTGCATAGACAAAAATAATCTGATTCCCTATGACAACAATATTGACAAGGTGATTTCTCAAGTGTGTACGCTGATTGAAGTGTCAAAAAAGTCATCCACCGCATGCTGTATTTGTCTTACCAGACGATCGTGAATTGGTGCCGTCCGGCAGAAGAAAAAACATTTTTCTTGATAGCAAATACATCGAAGTGTTTTTTTTCTTGTTTTTGCTTTGCAACATAACTTTGAAGTGAGAGAATTATTTTAAACATTTTTTTTGTGTGAATAAAATGGTTTCATATTTTTCCTCTATCTCTTCGTATTCTTCATTTTGCATTACATTTTCATGAGACTATTTTCAAAACAGACTTGAGGGTGTGGGTGTGGCTGTGGCTGTGGGTGGATGTGGGTGTGGGTGGGTGTGGATGTGGCACAGTGGGCAACTTTCGCATAGCCGGCGGACATGCAATTTTTTTTGCTTGGAGACGGACTTTTACTAGTCAGAACGAGTTATATATCACTTCCAAAAATCACGTTGAACAAAATAAACTATTTTTTTGGAAAAAAAATTTTTGCGAAAAATCATCGTGGGGGACCCTTCCTAAATTTTTCGAAAAAATTCTTTAATTAGAAAATATATTGTGCCGCACACCATTCGACGTAGTTTTACGTGCTGATTGCCAATATTGCCTTCGTTTCTCGCTAACATATTGTTTTAATGACAAAAAACGAATTTAGGACCAAAAACCAGGGTTTTTTGGGAATCCCTGGCCTAATATATGAACACTGATACAATGCGACGCACATAGCCAACGATAAATTAACATGGAGGTATGCAATTGGTAAAGAGTTTAGCTTAATCAGGTGAAAACTCTTTGTAGCGTTGGAAAAATACAATATGACTCATTTTTTAAAGCTTTTCCTTCATAAAGGTCAAAAAGAAATTTTCAATAAAACCCTTTTTATTATATATGGTTAGATGCAGCTCGATGAGCGAATTCTGAATATCACCTTGATTTTGCACCAAAATGATACCCTGTTTACAAAAATAGGGATTTGGGGGCAAAAATCCTGATTTTTGAATGACTCATAGCACCGGCTGTGCTCATCAGTTCGAGGTGACGCTAAGGCCAACGATAGACCAGACATTGGAGAATAATCAGCGAAAGTTTGAGAACAATCAGGCGTAAATTGTTTTGCGCGTTTACAAAACACAGAAAGGCTGTTTTTCAGAACCTTGTCGAGTCCACGAGTCGAACTTTTTTTCGAAAAGCCCCTACCATTATATATGATTCGATGCAGCTCGGCCAGCTAATTCCGAATATCACTTTAGTTTTGCGCCAAAATGTCTCTGTATTCACAAAGCTAACGATTCCGGGGCAGAATCCTGGTTCTTTGGGAAACAGCTAGCACTTTTTCTGTTCACTCGTATGACTCAACGCCATGGCCAACGATAAGTCACATATAGAAGAATACTTGGTAAAAGTTTGAGATGAATCGGAGCTAAATTGTTTTGCGCGTTTACAAAATACGGTATGGCAGATTTTTTGACCCACTTTCAGCTCTACAATCGTTTTTTTTCTATTCCATTTCTAGTTCAATCGAAACAATTTTTTCACACAATAAAGCTTATGGACCAATTATTAGTTTCAGACAGTTTTTCATTTTAAAATATTTCTATATCTAGGTAATAAAAATGATTTCCGTATAATTACCGGTTTATAAAGAAATTTTTTGTGATGGACTTTTCAAGCATTCGACTTGATTTCTGGAGATCTTATTTCAGGGTAAGATAGACCAACCAAAGATGTATTTATTCCAATATTTAAACTTTGGCAAAGTCTGCTTTCGGTAATGTCCGCCTGATTGCCCATTGTGTGTGGGTGTGGGTGTCGGTGTGGGTGTGGGTATGACAGAGAAAAGCACAACGCCCACACCCACAATCCACCCACACCCACACCCACACCCTGGAATCTCGAATTCTCGGAGTTTTCTGTTTCCCCCGTAAAGGCCGGTCATATGAGCGGCTTATATGGATTCGATTGAGAGAAATGGATGAAAAATAAACTGCAAATCTCTAGATTATATGTTAAGTCCGCTTTTCTATGCCATTTAATGGTAGATTAATTGTGTATGGAGCATTTAAAAACAATCCTTCTCGGAGAATACAGCTTTGTCTTCAACAAATGCTTATCAGTTTGATAACGTAAGAGCATTCATAGCCGCCCGGATTTCATAATATGATGGCATGTCATGCAGTACAAGTTTATTTTAATAAAGACAAATAAAAAAGATCAAGATTGCGATAATCTTCTTAGTAATAAAAAAACTTTGCACTGGCATCCAATATATATTTTGTATGAAACGAAGTTTGTAAAATTTTTTTTCAAAACTTGAAATTGGAATATTACAATGCTTTGTCGCGTCATTACAGCAATTTTCATGTTAAGCTTTTGGATAGACTGCGTCAAGTTAAATCCTATTCCTGTGGACTCGTTAAGTGGTTTGCCGATTGGTACGATCATAATGTGGACAGGGATAGAACTACCAGCAACATGGCTGCGCTGCGATGGGTCTGCAGTTTCTCGTTCTAAGTACTCTCTTCTGTTCTCAGTCATTGGTACTTTGTATGGGGTAGGTGATCACGTCAAAACATATAATTTGCCTGACCTACAAGCCCGTTTCCCATTGGGCATCAATTGGCACCAGAACGAAACAGTGGGTATCAATAAGGGTGGTGCTTTTCTGCACACTCTCAGCATGGCTGAGCTCCCAACACATGCTCACGATCAAGGAACATTGGCTACAAGCAATGCGGGAAATCACTCGCACAAATACGACGACCCGGGTCACGATCATGGTGGTAGAACGGGTGCCGGACCAATATCCAGAGGGGGATGGGGTCAACATAACAATGGATATGCAAATGATGGTGGATCGCATGATCATACCATTCCAATAGGCAAAACAAACATCGCTATTCAAGCAAATGGCAAGCATGAACACATTATCAGTGGCACGAGTGGACCTGTAGGAGAAGGACAACCGTTCAAAATCATGCCGCCCTATCAAACTGTCGATTATATTATCTTCGCTGGACAATGAATGAAAAGATTTTTTTCTTTTCAATGATATAAACAATATTTTAAAACAACTATCACTGTTCAGAACTTGAACAAAAAATCAACAGAATTCGGAAGCGACTGACTTTCAGCACGAAAATGCACGGCAATTTGCCTCTGTCAGTGCACAGAAATGATTACCTCACAATCGATGAGAAGCTACCATGACGCGACGGATCACCACGACGGTGAGCGTGGGTATCCCGTATGGGTGTGGGTGGGGGTGGGGGGGGGGGTGGGGGTGTGGGTGTGGGTGTGTGAATATCTTCTCATATTATATTCACACCCACACCCACCCCGAAAATTATACAATTCAATTCAAATCAAGACAATAAAATAACGTAGGTATAAGTTTTAAGTTTTTTTTCTTTTCACGATCATATGAAGGATTGTAAGTTATAATATGATCTTTTTTATGTATATTCTTGAAATTTTAGCTGATGAACATCAAAGAATAAGATAATACGGGTAAGTTATCTCTCTATTTTCATCGTTCTATTTTTTTTTCTTTTTTTTATAGTTATCGACGTCACCAAATCGCATCATTATTCAACATCGATGAATGAGTTTTTTTCTTTGTTGAGACGAGACTAGTAAGGGTGAGTGAGGTACGTTGGGATTAAGGTTTCGCAGTATAAGAAGTACTTCTGGGTAGTCCCTAAAAGCCCAGCCAGGAACGGTACTGATGTCCATAGCAACACGATCGGGCCCCCAGACTCACGGACGCATGTCATCGAATGGATGCGTGTGAATGATATGAGTCTTCCAGCGCGTGCATGAGCATTACGCTCGCCATGACTCCACCAGGGTCGTCCCTGGTCACACGCTTGCGTGAATAGAATAAAATTTCAATGCATTTCTTCATTTAGTCATATTTCATTTGAAAGAGAAAAAAAAGAGAACAAATAAAAAAATTAATCATACGGATATAGTTTATGTGATATTAAATTTTTGTACGCGATTATTTTTCCATTCGACGACATAGAGATTACCATGTCGATCGAATGATAAACCTACGGGAAAACTTAGTTGATTGGACTGAGCTCCTTCACCACTTCCACCAATAATGACACTTCCTTGTATGGCTCTTTTTGGCCAACGCATGATTCGATGATTCCCGGCATCAGTCACATAGACAGTACCCAATTGATCAACGACGACTGCTTGAGGATAATACAATTGTGTAAGACTATTTCCATATCCTTTACCAGCGGCTACAACAATGCCTTCTGTTGCACCTTCTTCCCATTTCATGACACGATGATTGTAATAATCAGACACATAAATTGAATGTTCTCGGTCGACAAATACGTAGGTGGGGTTAGAGAGTTGATCGAGACGATTACCTTGTCCATTGCCACCTGCAACCACTGTTCCTTGGGTATCACCAATTTTATATCGTCTCAATTCATGTTTATCAAAGTTAACGGCATAGAGGTAACCATTATCGTCAATTGTTAAACCAACGCAAGCGATATTTGTAATAATTGTTTCTCCATGAGTACCATTGCGACGAGGCCATCGAACTACTCTTTTATTCCTGTAATCGGAGATGATGAGACTATCGGTCTCTTTATCGATAATCACATCTGCTGGGTTATTTAATTGATTAGTTCCATTCCCTTCTCCATTTCCACCAGCAACTACTGTGCCATTTGTTGCACCAAATTTCCATTCCATTATAAGATTATTATCCAGATCAGCGACATAAATTGTTTGATCGTCGTCGACGTACACACCCCATGGGTTATAGAGTTGATTGCTTTTACTGCCTTCTCCATTTCCTCCAGCAACAGTGATACCATTCGTCGACCATGTTGCATTTGGTTGAATTTCCATGGCACTTGCACGCATTGGTAGTGAAACGCAACAAACATATGAGGTAGAAATATGAATGAATTTTATGTTGGTAAGAAATTTCCGATGAGAAGAGATATCTAATTTGTTGGAAACATGTTTATTGGATGTAATTGTTTTATTTTTACAATAATTAAAATTTTTGTGTTGGTTTTCTTTGTTCAGAGTAGGAGTGACCCTTCATCTTTACTATCCTTTATAATAAAGGATAAAGATAAATGAATCCTTTACTCTTAAAAAATAAAGGTAACTGGATCCTTTATTTTTAAAAAATAAAGATAAATGATCATTTATTTTTTAAAAATAAAGTTAATTAAATAAAAGAATACGTTATTTTTAAAAAATAAATGTAAATGAATCATTTATTTTTAAAAAATAAAAGAAAAATAAAGGAATAAATGACACCTTTTAGGACGACAGATAATGCAATTAGGAAAGCACTGGAATCATGAAATAAATTTGCAGAGATTACTACGGTTTAAAAATATAATTTGATTTAAAATACGCTTTTTCAGATGAAATTCAAAAATAACAGAAATGAAAGCTTTATATCTGATTTTCAAGGGTACTAAGAAAGAGGAAAATCTTCTTATAACATTCTAATAAGATCAAAAGCTTTCTACATATTCGGACATCTTTGTGAAGCTTTATTTTAGAATCATAGAATGTCTCCATTGGATCGATTATCACTCAAGCTTCATATTTCTAAATAGAAGCTATTTAATATTTTGAATTTTACTGCTAATTATTTACAACCTTGCCCAATATACTCTATATTTTGCTATCTTTCTCGAAACAGTTGGTCCATAGAAGTTGTAGAACGATTATATTCACATAAGTATTATATAGATGGTTTTATTTTCACAAGTGATTTTTTTCCACTTAGTGGAAAATATCCTTATGATACACTCAGACATAGAAAAAGAATATAAAAGAAGGAAACGAAAATAAAAACAGAAAATTACACATATAAGTTGTAATGAACGTAATTTTTCGTATGATTTAATTCCAAATGTATCTACATAGAAAAAAGCTTCTTTTTGGAGGCAATAATTGCCAGTGATACATTTATTCTCTATAGTGTGTTCCAATGAAAATTTAACATGATATTTGTATTGAATGTGGATCAGTTTAATAATAGTAAAAAGTTACTTTTACCTTCAAAAATTTTCATGCAAACTTCAAATTCAAACACAGTTCTTTCAAAACTGTTTAGAAAAAAGTTGAATCTATACTCACGAATTAAGGAAAATTCTAGTCACATTGTGGAAATCGAATCGTTTCCAAATAGCAACTATCTACAGAGCAACTTATTTACTTTACAGTAGGTATGGCATGAAACGCATGTTAATTCTCTATATCCGTATTTGGTTGAAGAGGTTATTGTGAAATACAGTATTAGATCATTGGGAGAAGCTGGTGAAAGATAATTTTTGAAGAATATCAATTCTATGAGGCCATGGTCTCAATGATCGAATACATTAATTAAGAAAAGAAACTCTTTAGCCAAATATAGATATAAGAATTTGGCCTGTGCATGTTATCCTTCTCTACTGGGAAACACGCAAGTTGGTCAATATTAAGCTGATCTATGAAAACGATTTGATCGTCGAATCTTAATTTCTGCTGTCTTCTATTCATATGTATGAATTCGAGTTTGCTTAAAGCATTATCGAAAAAAAAAACTTAGTTTCATTTGAAAACAATATGAAAATTTTCTCGGACAAAAATGAATATACTGGACTATTATAAGCCTAGTTCATATTGGCTTGAACTCTATATATGTTAAATTTTCATTGAGATGTTCTATAAACAACGTACGTACTACCAATAAAAAATTTCAGCCATTCTATTTCTTTTTTCTCTTACGAAAGCTAATCTTCATTAGTTTCACAACATAAGATATCTGCATGTAGCTGGTGATAAAGAAGACCGCTGTTTGCGGTGAACATAGCCAACAACAGAAGGAGCTGATTCAGAACGGATGGCGTCGCTGGACTAATACTATAACGCTTTAGAAAAATGGAAAACATTCCTAGCAGCGCTCTATCAACATCATGCTTGTCAGAATTATATTTGAATAGAAATATCAATCTTCCTAAACATTTAATCTATGAAAAAAATGATTATTTTAATTTTCTGTAATGGCTACTAGAGTCCTACAGGAACGATAAAAAAATATCCATTCTCGGAAACCGCTTGCCCTATTTCTATACGCGCTAAAGTGTGTTTGCGTAACAAACTTTTATTTTCAATAGGGATTTTCATATATAATAACCAAAAGAAAGCAAATATTTATCGACAAAGCTTTGAAAATGCATTCGTTTTTCACTATATCTTACATTATGACAACAATCAGCTTCTTTGTATTCATCATCGAAAGCCCGATTATCAATGTTACCTTACAAAACATTAAAATCATCTTTTTCTTTTGAAATTTTTGCTTTTCTCATTGGTGTCATCAATGTGCAACTAGTTATTCTTTTTCTTAATTACTCAGTTGATTGTGGAAATAATTCTCTTCAGGTTGATAAATTTCAATTTCTAAATAATAGCTGATTTATTCTACTTCTGTGCAAACGTGCATGACGACTTCTTGTTGTA